GATTTGGGGATGTTGGTTGACAAGAAGTTCAACATGACCTGGCTATGCGCACTTGCAGCCCAGACAGCCAGTCACATCCTAGGCTAAATCACAAGAAGCGTGGCCAGCAGGTCAAGGGCAGTGATACTCCTCATCGACTCTGTTCTCATGATTCCCAACTAGGAGTACTGTGCCCAGCTCTGGGGCCCCAACATAAGCAGGGCATGGACCTATTGGAGCGAGTCCAGAGGAGGGCCATGAAGATAATCAGAGGGCTGGAGGACCCGCTATGAAGACAGGCTGAGAGAGTTGGGGTTGTTCAACCTGGAGAAGACAAGGCTCCGGGGAAACCTTATAGCAGCCTTCCAGTACCTAAAGGGGGGCCTACAAGGAAGATGGAGAGGGACTTTTTACAAGGGCATGTAGTAATGGGAAAAGGAGGATTGTCTTTAGACTTTACTCTTTCAGGTTTAGATTAGATGTTAGGAAGAAGTTTTTCATTATGAGGGTGGTGAGACACAGGAATAGGTTGCCCAGAGAAGCTGCAGATGCCCCATCCCTGGAAGTATTCAAGGCCAGGTTGGATGGGACTTTGAGCAGCCTAGTCTAGTGGAAGCTGTCCCTGCCCATGGGAAGGGATTGAAACTAGATGATTTTTAAGGTCCCTTCCAACCCAAAACACTCTATGATTCTATTATTGTTTTTTCCCTTGCATTTTGTACTCATGCTGAAGCTGTCCAGGCCTTTTACAGATATTTACAAACCAAGCATCATAGCCATTGATGCCCATGACTCCTTGTACCTGGCCTGTACAGAATCCTATTAAAGCAGACTAGTAGCAATTCTTTACCTCAAAAAGTACTGCCTCATCCTTCTTCCCTGCTGATTCAGCTGATTTTGACTTTTAATTGGTCTTGTCTAAATGATTTGCACATAAAAAACCTAAACAGGGCTGGAATGTCATGCACTAAGGCTCCCGTGCTTTGGCAAGTGCACTGCATGTAAAGGACCCCATACAGCTCCCTTTGCATAAGCAAGGGCTTCTGATGAACTAGGAATTGTCTTTGAGCTTCTGCCAACATTTTTGTCAGAAGGTTTGTTTTTAACATTGCTAATGATTTGGAAAACAAAACAGAGTTTGTAGAACAATCTTCAAAATATTTATGGTAATTAGGACATGGAAAAGAAAAAGCCCTTCACAGGCTCCACTGTATAGGAAAGGAAGCGTTTAAAAGAGGAAAATTTCTGAGCAGGCTTTGTCTGTTGCTAAACTGTTAAAATTACTGTGCCAGATATAACCATGGAAGCAAACAATGGAAGTGCACTCACTAATACTATTCCAAAATTATCCTAAAGGTGCTGAAGTTGTTTGAAATTATGTCTTTAATTGGCAGAGCTGAAAGAATTCATCCTCTTTTTATAAACAATGGAAGGAGTCTTGCAGATTTTCCACTCTTATTGCTGGAACATAGATCTGATAGAGTAATTCAAGTAAAAATGCTGTTTGGGGCCTTTTTCTAAATCCTATTATTCCTAGCAAGACAGTGAACTCCCAGTATTAAGATACAAATCATACCTCAAAGTCATAGTAATTCAATTTTGGCATTGAATAATCTTCAGCTCTGAATTCATTGTTAGTGCAACTAAAAGAAAGCCAAGAAAAATTTATTCTGAGACAGTTAACCAAACAGTCTAAAAATTTTCAATTCTAGTAATCTGAAACATTCTTCCACACAATATCTCTAAAATATTTGAGATTGAAATAAATGTGCACATCTAAATTTCTAAAACTATGTGCAGTGGTAAATATAGGCATTTGCATTAGTGATGAAAAGATAGCACTATCAAGATTTCCCATCTTTCAGATAAGCAAGCTTGGGAATCTAGAAATATTTTACATTCCTCATCACCAGCCAATTCAGGAAATTAATTTTAAAAGGATATTTCAAGGAAGATTTGCTTGAAACATTTTGTATAGTTTGAAGAGAAAGAATGTGATTTTTCATGCCTTTATGTAGGTCATATAAGTCACTCCAGAATGTCTGTGTACTCAAAATAGAGGCATTTAGATCACCTTTGAAATCTATTACTGCTCACATTGGCTCTGTTCTTATGGGATTAAGAGACAAAAAGTGAATAGTTAGGCCTCTACAGTTTAATTTTTGGGGGTTTTTAGGTAGAAATGGAAAAATTTTTAGGAAACTGCACTATTTGGACAAACACTGAAAAAAAGGTAGGATGCTTATTTTGAGCATTATTTAATCTCCTTGAATCATAAATGCAGCCAGAATATCTTCTGAGAGCATGATGCACTGTGGCATACATATTTTATTTGCCTTGTGCTAAATTTACTGTAATAACAAATACATGGTCTTCAAGTCAAAATGTTAACACTGGGATGTGGGAGAAATAAATTCTCATTCTACCCCAGGCATACTGCAAAGCACAAATGACTGGCTATGAGGCATGCAACTACTTCTGTGTGTCTCTCCCTAATTTACATCTGATTTGAGAACCGATGGAAGTTCCTAAGGGTACCCTATATGTACGGACGTTCTCTCACAGTGCTCCAACACATCCAACAACATGTATAAGCCAGGTATGGGTTTTTTCCTGTGACACCTGGACAATGTAATGTCAACTAATAAAAATTGCAACAAGCATTCTTACTATTTTATTGATTTATATATATATTATGTAGGTATTATACTGAAATAATTTTAGTATCTCTATGAATCCAGCACCGGATTCCAAAATTGTGGAGTCTTAAGATATTTATCACTAGTTGTTGACGTTCAAGAGTTTAATTTAAGGCATGTAGGATAAAATCCTTCACAGAAAGGGATAAAGTATGAGGGGTATGAAGGCAGTTGAGTAAAAATCCCACTGGCCAAACAAATATATGCCTAAGTAGAAAAAGAGACAGAAATTGAGGAGCAAGCTAAAAGAATGTTGGTGAATTTACGAGGAGGAACAGACTTTTGGGGCTGTAATGAAATTCCTGTAGAAATGCCTGCATGTTCAGAGAATTTGCCATTCTCAGCAGCGTACAGAATCACGTAACAGTCCCGGTTGGAAAGGGTGTCTGAAGTTTATCTGGCCCAACCTGCTATTCATAACAAGCTGAACTTCAAAGCTTGATTGCTCAGGGCCTTGTCAAATTTTGAAAAGCTCCAGGCATGAAACTCCTTGACCTCTCTTAGCAGTCTGCTCTGGTGCTCACCACTCCGATGCTGGAAAGTGCCGTGCTTAAGCCCAACTGGACATTCTCTGGGTGCACCTTGCTACTGCTGCCTCTTGGCACTGCATTCCTCATCTGTGACAAGAGCCTGGCTCTGCCACGGCAGTGTGTGGTGGGAGCCGGGGGCTCCCTGTGTGGGTCAGCATGGCAGGCAAAGCCTCACCAGCCAGGGCTCTTCTCACCACCCACAAAGGAGGAGGGCAGGCTGGGAGCAGCTGAGGGCTTGTCTGTGGCACTGCTGAGGCTTCCCTGAGGTTGAGCTGAGGAAGTGAAGCAGGGCCAGGCCCGGTGAGGGTAACCAGGGTCAGATACGGCCTTGTGATCACTGAGTGACTCCACAGTGACAAGGTCACTGAAGCCAGACTGGGAAGTCAGCCCACAGGTGGTCAGGGTTCAGGACAGCAGGGCCCATGGCCAAACAAAAGCAGAGCTGTGGTGTTGCTGGGGCAGTGATAGATGGCCTTGAGAGTTGACATGGGGTGCTGAACCATTGCCAGGGTGGGTGGGAGCCCTGGGAGTGTGGGCAGGGACAGGCAGAGCAGGCAGTGACCTCAGAATAGGTCACTTTGGGCATTTTAAAACTATCACTAGATTCTTCTCTTAACTTCAGGAGTGCATTGTCTAGCTTAAAGTAATTCTTTTTTAAATCCATGTTGTTACAAACAACACTTCTAGATAATAAAAAGAGTCAGACTTAAACCATAACCCCATACTGTTTATACTATTTACTTTTTGCCTCTCCTTCGGCCTAACTACAAACACATGTCCCAACGATCAAAAAATGAATTTCATTTTCAAATACCAAGCACAAGTCAGGACTGCTAACACTGTAAAATGTTTATGTTATAGGCTTTAAAAATGCTTCAATTCTGTTTTTAAATCATTAAACAATTCACCTTTTTTAAAGCTAACCTTGTGTCTCTGTGAAATTTGACTTGATATTGCCAACGTAATAAATTTATAACTCAATAAAAATTTATAACTCAATAAACAAATGTATAGAAACAAATGTTTCTACAAATACATTAGCAACAAAAGGAGGGCTAAGGAGCATGTCCATCCCTTATCCAGTCACTGTCCTTGGAGGTATTTAAAAGTCGTGTAGATGTGTCATGCAGGGACATGGTTTAGTGTTGGGCTTGGCAGTGCTGGGTTAACAGTTGGAATCAATGATACTAAAGGTCTTTTCCAACCTAAATGATTCTATGAACTCATTTGGTATCCATCCCTGCAGAAAAGGACATGACGTTATACTGGATCACAAACCCAGCAGAAGTTAACAGTGTTGCACTATTGCAAAAAAAGCAAACATTGTGCTGAGCAGTATGAAGGGAATTGCCAGTGATAAAACACGTGAAGTAAAGGCTTCCATTGATTTAAGGCTGATGAGGTCTTGACTGGAGTACCATGAACCACAGTGAGCACCCAACAGTTACCATCAGTTGGTAATAGATCCACTACAGTTCATATTGGGATGAGTCAGACATGATATCCAAGTACCACTATAAAAAAAAGTAGTTAATTGGATGTTTACATCAGGACGTAGGAGGTCCCTTTCTTTTCTTCCAAACTGGTAGCCCTGGAAGCTAACTCCTCCCCAGTGTCTCAGCAGGATATGGAGCTCCCAAACTCAAAAGTGGTTCAAGGGAGTCCAAATCCTCTGATCAGCCATAGCCTAACAGAAGGATATTTCCCAAGTTCCATTCTTAAATATTTAAACAGAATGAGTCATCTTAATTAACTACTTCAGGAATAAAGAAATATACTGTCCTGTACTTACCTCTCCCTACTATTGGCTTATCAAAGCAGGTTGTCAATTCTCATTTATTGAAGCTTTTTAACACTAGGTTGAGATACAAAGGTACACTAGATGACCAGTTGTCCTGGTTTTGGCTGAGATGGAGTTAATTTTCTTCCTAGTAGCTGGTACAGTGTTGCATTTTGGATTCAGTAGGAAAATTATGCTGATTACACACTGATGCCTCAGTTGTTGCTCTGCAGTACTTGTCCAAAGTCAAAGACTTTCCTTTTTCTCATACTCTGCCAACAAGGAGACACACAAAAAGCCATGAGGGAGCATGGCCGGGACAGCTGACTTGAACTGGTCAAAGGATATTCCATACCATAGAATGTCATGCCTAGTATATAAACTGGGAGGAGATGGCTGGGAGGGGCTGATTGCTGCTCAGGGACAGGCTGGGCTTTGGTCAGTAAGTGGTGAACAATTGTCTTGTGTATCACTTGTTTTTCCTGGGCTTTATTCCTCTCATTTTGCTACCTCCCTTTTAATTACTATTATTATACTATATTTTACTTTACTTTGATTATCAGTCTGTTCTTACCTCAGCCCCTGGGTTTTACGTTTTCCCAATTCCCCTTCCCACCCCATCAGTGCAGGTGAGGGTGGGGAGCGAGCAAGCAGCTATACAGTACTTAGTTGCTGGCTGGGGTTAAATCACACCATAAGTGTTCCTTCTAGTCTTTTCCTAGGACTATTTCAAGGAGAGCCTAAAACTATTTCAAGTAGAGCTCTTCATATATCTTTAGTACATCTGAGGAGATTTGAGAGAGACAAGTACAGGAGTGGGACAAAACCATATGTACTTATGAAAAATCCCGAGTAGGATTTTTTAAAGGGTACCATATAGAAACCACTTGAGAAAAAGAATTAGGTGCCTGCCAGAAGGGCAAAGCCACCGTACTTTCTGTCAGAAACACGTTGATAATGTATGATGCTCACTAATAATGTGAATGTGGGCTAACATCTACAAAAATACCTGTATTGGGTACACAGCCATTACAAATAATTTGGCCATTTACAAAAGCTTTATTTCTAGTCCTATAATACAGTCTTATTATGCAATGCCATCCTCTTCTGGAATAATGACCTCTGACTGCATATGTAATTGCTGAACATTACCCCTTTGGACTATTTTGAACTATTTTTGCAGTTCAAATATTGTGAGGTCCCGCAAGAGCCATTCTAAAATTTCTCTTGCTCACAGATTGTCTGCAAATGCAATACAAATGCACAACAAAATTTGCAAGAGGGTATAAAGACTAAGAAGGAAAGCAATCGCTAGCAGCAGACTCAGACAAATAAATCTGTACTAATCCCATTACATGGTAAAATGTTCCGGGCCTTAAGTGGAAGATTCTACAGGTGACAGGAGACACCACTTTTTCATGTTTTACTGGTCTTCCTTTTGAGCTGAAAAGGTCTGCTGCCATTCTTACAACTCATTTACCTCAATAGATAGTTATGATTTAGTTTTTATTAGTGTTTGAACATAAAAAAGAGAAACAAATTGTATTTTTAGGAAGGAGGAGTAAATCTGTACTTAAAACACAATAGTAAATGGTTTCTGAAGTCTAATTACATAAAAAATATGTATATATCCCAATGAACTTCACTTTAATTAGTTGTTTCATTACATATGTTTTATAACTGGTGCAAGGCAAGTCAGGACAAAGTGCTTAGCACGGGTCAGACCCCTGAGCAGGTACAGTGATTGCAGTGACTTTTGGCACAAATCAAAGAGATTTTTTTTTATAAATAGTGTTGCAACATGAAGATAAAATATTGCATCAGGTTAGCATTCTATCAGAATGGTTTCAGTGCAGCCATAAGGAAAAGAAAAAAGATGTTTCTATGTTGCTTTTCAATTTTATAACTAAGAAAGTCCTGCAATGCTACCCCCTTATCCCTGATACCTATTGAAGGTAATAATCAGGACTTGGGTGGGTGAGCAGGTAGTTAGCTATCCAGACAAATCCAAGGAAGGTTGGCTGTTTAGTCAGAAAGGCTCCAGGTTTAAAGTTTTGAAGAAACTTTCTAGTTTTAGTTTACTGCTTTCCCTAATACTGAGGTGATGGACAAAGGGAGAAGTTTATTTACTGAATTTTCCGCTGACTTGGAAATCAAGTTTCCAGAAATAAGAGACTTGGAACCCTTCCAACCTTCCTTTGTTAGCTAACTGCAAATAAACTTTTAGGAGCTACTTAACAGGAAGTTCAGGAGAAGCCAGATTCTGTGGGAGCTTTTTTTTTAATAAAATATGAAGTAATTATATGAATACAAGGCCTGTGGATTAAATGTGAAGAGGTAAGTTTGAAAGAGCTGCAAAATTTTGATCTGTTTGTTGCTACCTGACAACAGAAACCAAATCCTTCTAAAATAATCTTCTAGTCACACATTTCAAGAAGTATAATTTCTCCACAAGGACTATGGCACTTGCATGGAAATCATCTTTGCTTACATACATGAATTTAGAGGACTAAAGTCACAGTCATACTGTACACAACAGGTTGTATGCGAAGAATTTCAGAATATATTGTAAACAAATATGAGGGCTAGCAGTACAAACCAGCTGAACACCTGCTGTACCTCAGTGCTCTCCATCCTGACCAGGCATAACCCCAGCCACCACAGCTGAAGCCAACACACAGCTAATTACATCAAACATTTGCTCCTGACTGTACGAAGCTATGCAGCCCGTCCCCTTCGGGAAAGATTGGATTTCAAGGCCATTTAAATAGCAGAGGGAAAGTGAAACGACTGTTGTTCAAGCGCAGAGGCCCAGCTCCCGCGTGTGGCCGCGCCCAGGGGGCTCAGCTGGGGCGCGGGGTCGCGGCCGAGCGGTGTCACGGCGCGGTGCTGACAGCGCTCCGCGGTGCTTCCCCGCGTTGGTACCGCGGCTCCCGCGCCAAACCCGGCGTGGCGAGGGAGACCCGCGGCTGCGATTCCCCCTCAGCAGGTGATCGCAGCCCGGCCTGTTCCTCCGGGCGGTCCGGAGTGGCTCTCTGCAGCGCTAAAAGGCAGCGCAGCCCGTACACCCTGCACCCTCGGGCAGGTCCGGGAAGGGCCGCGGGTCTGCACCCCTGCAGTCCCCCGCACCTGGGCGGCCGCCCGGGTGTGCGCGGAGCTGCCGGTGACTCAGCGGCGCCCCGGTGACCCCCTCCCGGTGGCGGCGTCTCGCCGTGGCTCTGCCTCCTCCCTCTTTCCCTCCCTCCCGGCAGGATCATCCCACCCCGCCGGGCAGTCACCTCGGCAGGAGGAGCCGCCGCTTCGCCTCCGCTCCCGCAGCGACCTGACGGCAGCGAGCCCCGCCGCGCCTCGCCATGCAAGCAAGGAAGGCAGCCGAGAGCAGGCAGGACGCCGGCCGGCCCCTGCAGCTCACCATGAAAAGGGGCTACGAGGTGCTCCGCGACCCCCACCTCAACAAGGTAGGGGCGGGCAGGGCAGGTGCGCCGCTGGGCGAGGGGGGCGGCAGCCCCAGCCCTCGCTGCGGCCCGCCGCGGGTGACGGGCGATCCTGCCGGGCGCTGCCTGCGGAGCCAGAGGCCTCTCGCCGCCGCCACCTGTCAGGGAGCAGCGCCCGCGGAGCGCCCGGGCCGCCCCCGCCGGGCCGGGCCGGGGGCGACGGGCGCGGGGCAGCGGCACTTCCTGCGGGCCCGGCGCCGCTTCCTCTTCCTTCGGGGCGGCGGGGGGCGGCCAGCGCCCAGTCTGTCACCGCACCGCCGGCCCAGGGGCGCGGAAACATCCCCTCTGTGCCCTCTGGGGAGGGGTGGGGGGAGCAGCAGCCCGGGGAGGAGGATGCTGCTGAAAGTTAAGCCGCTGTGATGCGAGTTCCTGCTGCCGTGCTTGTCTTTTCCCGGTACCCTCCTTCTTTTCCAGTCCTCTTTCCCACGGATACCCCATCTCGTTTCCTGCGGGCAAACCCAGCTATTCGTGCTGTCCAACCTTTTTTCCCCTGGCAGGTGGAAAATGGGTTTTATCACCCTTATTCCTCTTAGAGCTGTAAAATGCAAATGCAGTTTCCTCCCTACTCTGCATGACCGAATGCAGCCAGCTTTTCTAAGAGATGCCATAGCACAGCAAAACCTTTTTGTCACATCTCCAGTTTGCCTAAGAATGGTAATTCAGCTTGATAAAGCTTTCTAAACATGTAAGACTAATCTAGAAAAAATAAAGCTGAGTAGCTGTTTGTACAACTTATAGAGATGCAAAGTTCAGAGAGTAAAATAGTTAAATTGACATGACAAGCCGGAATTTGCTGCCAAAATGAAAAATAGTCAAAAAGGTAAATCATAAACCACACCTAGCACATGAAACTTTGGTCAGACCCTTAGCCCCAAATTTCACCTTGCACATTACCTGTAATGGTACTCTGACTTATACATCTGCATTAGAATGTATAAGTCAATAAGCAGTCATTTTGCTTATTGCTGAGTTGGATAAATTGACAAAAAAAACTGTCTCTAGTTTTACTGGCGCAGTTGACTCATCACTAAAAGCTCTATATATTAGTTAGATGAATAGTGCTTTTATTAGTCTTGGTGCTTGACTACAAAGTTTTCTTAGAGGCTCTTATGTGTCTGTGTGTGTGTGTATGCCTGAGAAGGTCTCCTGAGGTCACGTTAAAGGAAAATTAAGCAAACTATAAAACTCGCAAGAAGAAACCAAGGAGAGCTGTTTTGCTTTTACAGCTGGGTTGCTTTTAAGCAGCTGTAATATTCATAGAAAAAAATCTAATTCAGCATAACCAAGAAGGCCAACCCAATAGAAAACCCACCTGGTTTTAAGAAGTAAAATGGAGCTTATTCTCAAATAAAGGGCAGTCAGAGGCAGACTCATTGCTACTGTTTTCCCCTCACACATCATATATCTAGCCTCTGAACACCATACCTTAAGGGTGGGTCAGATGAGCCACTAAAGAGGAAGGGTTTTGCTTAATTTTAAATTACAGCAGACAGGAGTTACAGAATATTCTGAGTTGAAAGGATCACCGAGTCCAGCTCTCAGGTGAATGGGAATTGAACCTGCAACCTTTGGGGGTTAACTCCATGCTCTTCCTGGATTAGGCTTTATACTTTCACACCTTCTAAGCTGTGGTATAGCACATATGTACCATATAACAGAGAAGTGGGAAAAAATAGTTGTTAATTGCCAGCCATATCTACCCAGTGAACAGAATTCAGTGTTAGAAATGCTCAGCTGAAAAATCTTGTCTTTGTGCCTGTGAGGAAAGTCTGGT